TATTATTCCTACTAGAAATGATAAAATTAAGCCACAAATCTTTATATATGCCTCATCTGAGGTAATCATATGAATTTTAAAATAATATTACACTTTTTATAGATTTCCTTTGAAACAAATTCTAACATATAACATTGTGGTTCCTGATTTTAATCACTTTAATGATTCTGATTTGTTCTTCAAATCTATTTATTTATATAAAAATGTGATTTGCATCCAAAAACTCAGCAAGTTTTGAAAAACCTCACAATTTTGGTTTTATTGAATTACCTAGTAGCCATCTTGCTTGTTGCTGCTAAATAGTCTACAAGACGTTTTTGTGGCAAGGAGATGAGTCTACTCCCCTCTGCTCAGGAACTGGTCTTCCCTGACTGGCCCAACAACACCTCCCCTCGGTCTCTGTAGCCCCCTGCTTTGTTCCGTTATGGTATTTGTCAGCATTTGAAATTTATATATCTGATCGTTTACTTCTTTATTGTCTGTCTCTCTCATTAGACTCCACTAGCGAGGGTCTCTCTCCTTTTCTACATCTCTCTCTTATATATAAAACACATGAAGTTCTCTCTGCCCTATGTCTCTTTGTGCCTGGCATATAGTAGGCAAGCTCACAAACTCTTTGTTTTAAAAAATGCATACCACTGTAATTCACCGTTATCTGATCTCTGTTCTCACCAACTAGACCCGGGGCTGCAAACGTTTTTTGTTTAGGGTCAAAGAGTCAGTATTTTAGGTTTTACCATCTCTGTTGCCTATTCTTCCTCCCCCCACTCCCAACAACCTTTTAAAAACACAGAAACTACTTTTAGCTTGAGGGCCATCTGAAAACGGGCTGAGGGTGGGATTTGGCCTGCAGGGTGTAGTTTGCCAATTCTTATGCCAGACTCTAAGTGTCTTAAGGTCAAGCCTGAGTTATTTACTCATATCCCCTGGGAACTTCCACAGTACTGAGCACATATAGGTTCTCAATAAACCAAGAACTCAGTTGAATTGGGTTAAAGTGATTGGGTTAGGGGTAGAGAGGACAAGACATTAAATGGAACAGCCCAAATGGTCAGATTTAGAATAACAGGCATTTTGCCAGGGAGACATGGCCTCTGGTCCAGGCTGGATGACTCAAAGGGTCACTTACCAAGGATTTATGGGTGATGGGAAAAGACAGCTTGTCATACAATCACACGCTCTCTCACTTGCCTTGGGAGTCACAGATCTCAATACCCTCCACTTCAAAGCAGCAATCCTGCTGCCAGAGGCCGCTGCCGCCTCTCTGGGGCCATGAAGAAGAGCCGATGTTTCTCCCAGTGACTGCTTTTGTTCTGTGTTATTGTGCTTGGCTGACTGGTTCTCTTGTCACCCAGCATTCAGAAAAGGTGCTGGCTTACAGATAACATCTCCCTCCAGAGCTTGGCAAATATGGAATTACCTCCATAGCCACTACAAACAATTCTTAGATGATGGCCAGGAAACCTTCCTGAAAACAGTTTTCGGATGGCAGCACTCCCTGATCCTTGCATGGTTTCAAGTCTCACAGGATGTGGATCATGGATGAAGGAAGGAAGGAAAGAAGGAATAAGTGGATGAAAAAACTCCACGGCCATGATCATGGCCACATCCCCACTCCTGAAACCGTCAGAATGTTGGGAGGTTGCAGTGTGTTGTGAGAGATCCCAGAATATGCACAATGTTTTCCCCGAGGGCATTCTTGCTTCCGCACACTATAGCAAAGTGTGAGGTCAGAGCCATCTGCCTCAAGAGACGAGTGCCTCTTTCCTCTAGCATCCAAAATGCTCAGAATTATTACCAGCACCTGCCCTAGTGACCGTCTTCTTCCCGGGCCTGGGAGAGGGGGAGAAAGGAAGGAGAGCAGGGATGTTATCTGGTGTCCAGCCAGGTGTCCACTCTCCATCGAGCAGTGGAACCAGCCCCAGAAGCCTGGCTCCATCTCTAGGCACTTCCTTCCTTCTTCATGTTCTTGAGAACTCAGAATACTTCACCGCAATGTTAAGTCTCTGCCATCCCATATTTATTCCCCCATCCTCATGGAAAGAAAAAAAGGGAACAAGTGGTCCCTTGGGTGTTGTAACCAAGCAAGCAGACACTTCCAAAGGTAAGTGTCAGATGCTTCACTGCAAGATGGAATAAGACACGTTATCCAACCAAGCTTCCCTCTGATGCAGCAAGTCCTACATTTTAGATAGAAGAAGCAATAGGGTGGGGATAATTTATTTAAAGACAGGCTGTGTGTTAATGATGGAGTGGGAAACAGCATCAAGTCCCCTGATTCACAGACAAGGTCATATCTGCCCAAGAACCATGAGTGTAGACAGTGACGCTAAGACACAAGGAGGGGAATAACAGCGGGAGGAAACACTCTGGAAAAAGTAAGTTAAACAAATCCCGAAGTCCTTGTAGTTGTTCTAAAGAGTGCCTGTGGGTTCTACATTTCTGGAGAAGGTAACCAAAACTAAATGAAAATATGACTTTGGGACTGCACGTTACATGTCTGGCTTGGAAAAGCTAAGACAGAAGGCGGAGAAGGAGCTGTAAGAAATACTGGACACATGGTACCAGGGGAAACATTCTTTGGGGAACAGATCTTCCACAGAAACAAGAAGTGCTGTAACACCAAATGGCCTGCTAAGGGAGGGCAGGAGCTGCAGGTGAGTACTCCTTTATCCCTGGGTGTCATTCTTATTTGCCACCACCAGAAGAGTGACTCTTGAGTTGCATGTGGAAAGCACAGGTGAGAATGAGCAATGTTAAGAATATCTTTTTTCTCTTCTATCTGATATGATCTGACATCAAGATTTTTGAAAACAGAATCACGGCTAGACAACCAAAGTAAATTTCATTTAAAGAGCTGAGATTTCATGCCACTTTGGTTGAGCATTCCTCTAATTTAACGTTTGCAGTTGTCTTTCTGTGTGTCCCTCCTTCTGTGTCCTCTCAGAGCCACTCCAGGAGGCTTCTGACTGTTGCCACCACCATTCGAGGCAAGGCACAGGCCCCTCTTGCTGAGCTGGGCTAGGCGAGTCACACCAACCGGACCACCCAGGCAACTGTCCGGGGTCGTGAGAGACAAACCAAGGATGCGATCAGGATATGGGGACGGGTTACCAGGCTAGAGGCAGAATCACTGGGATCAAGATGGTGCACAAAGTGAATATGGCAAGTAGGAAATGAGATCTCACAAAGGAATTAAGGCCCAGAATGAAAAAACAAAACAGCAACACATGAGATGACAATCAAAAGCGGTGGCTGGAAGTACCAGTATAGCCACATAAGATGGTAGGCAGAGAGGAAATTGCCAGGAGTCCTTGACTGTGAGCCTCCCTCTTCCACCTGGCCCTGTGTAATGGGTTAAGCTCCACATTTGAACGTCTCCACAGGACTTAACAACCAGATCCCCAGTGTACACATGAGGAAACTCAAGTGGAGGGAAGCTTGTCCTAGTGATTTGAACAATGTCGTGCAACTAGTTGGAAGAACACCCAAATGAAAATCTTACCTCTCCAATTTTCTTTTTATCTGTGCACATAATTAATACACAGCAATATGCTTGCATGCTTCAGATGCATCTGAAGAGATGGTCCCAACGTATGACTCGCTATAGAGTAGAAGCTCAATAGGAAGCACTGCATGGCAAGGTGTTTATCATTGGGAAACACCTTAAAAACATAGCCAACTCTCAGTTCTCTCTGTGCAGATTGTACCATGGTATTAGAAGCTTTCCTCCCTTACTGTCTGTTGGTGTGAAATGGGGTAAGACAGATGAATTTCAGAACCATTTTTTAGTCTAAGCAAATCACAACCAAGAACGTCAGTCTGCTGGGGAAACAAAAACCCCCAAACCAATGCCTTTGTGGCTAAATAGGGCCAAAGCTCCTCTTCCTGGAATAGTTTATTAAAGGTCAAGGGTAGTTCTATCCACTAAGTGGAGTCAACCCCAGCCCACCGCTTTTCTGTAACTTGACTTGGGAGAGCTGGAACTTCTGTGTCTTTGGCTTGAAGACGGGGCATTGTCCATGTCAAATTACTAAAGAATAAAGGTCTTGGTTGACTTGCAACGGGAACCTGGCACCATGGGTCAGTGGTTCTTACATAACAAAGAAATAAACAGAAGAGACTTCAAATTATCTATTAAGAGAAAGCTGGACCAGGGATGCCTGGGTGGCACAGTCGGTTAAGTGGCCAACTCTTGGTTTCAACTCAGGTCGCAATCTCAGGGTCCTGAGATCGAGCCTCGCATGGAGCTCCACGCTCAGTGCAGAGTCTGCCTGGGACTCTCTCTCTCTCTGCGCCACCCCACTCTCTCTCTAAAATAAATAAATTAATTTAAAAAAGAGAGAGAGAAAGCTGGACCAAAGTTTATTGACTCACCGATTAATGTAACACAACAAGCATTTCAAAGATGGCTATCTGTGGAATAAAACTGAAAAGTGATGCTGGGAATACATTCCAACTTGTCTCACCTTTTAAATATTTATTATATTATTATCAAAGCTGTAGTCTTATCCCTTAATAAGGATGATAACCACATGACCGAAGCAAATATGTTTTGAATAATCCTGACAGTTTTGGAACCTCACGCTGGGAAGACGCTTTGAAACAGGAATCTGGAACTCGGGGCACAGGGCAGGGTTTCTTCAACTCGGCACTATTGACATCTTGTACCCGATAATTTTGCTGTTGTTGGGGGACTGTCTTGCAACATCCCTGCCCTCTACCCACTAAATGCCAGAAGCCACAATCCCCACTTCCGCCCTGCTCAATCCTGACAATCAAAAATGTCCTTACACACGGCCAAACATCTGCCGAGGGGCAAATTATACCTGGTTTAGAACCACTGGTCTAGAGGTATTTTCTCTTTAAGACCATGTGGGTAAATATACTAAAGTAAAAGGAACCACATCAGGACAGTAAAGGTTTTCATAGTCATTATTACATCTGATTTCATACTTTGCAAATATATGCTGACATGCTCACAGCAAAAGTATACTCACTGTGCACAAGAAAACAGAAATCTCTCCACATCAGCAGTAGAGTGAGTTTTGTAAAGCCTTCTGCATCATATTCCACGACGCCTCTAGATGATAAACACACACACACACACACACACACAGAAAAAACCCTCATCAAAATAAGGCATAAGAGAGATGGAACCAAGTAAAGAATATATTCATAAAATCACGGTGATTGAATCTGAGATGCATTTAGGGTTAAGGGAGCGTTACCATAGGAAGGACATGGGGTTTGGAATGACAGCATCTACGCTGAAGTTACAGGTTTGCTATGTACTATTATGACTTCAGGGCAAGTGAAGCCATCAGGTCAGCAATGACACTACTTTCTGGGTGATGATTAAGTCTCACTTTCACACAGCCACTAAGCAGTAATGAGCAATGACAACGTCACTCAGTTTAGGAATCTACATTATCTCCTTCCAAAGCACTTGGAATCCTTTCACTTGTGGCCCGTCCTCCCCACCAGGCTCAAGATGAAGAAGCCATATTAGCTGGGTGGGTGCTGGTTCGGACGGGAGACACACAGGACACGGGTCGTGTGTCAAGGAGAATGGCCCTGGACCACTGAAGTGCCTGGGTAGACTTCCGATAGGCTCGCCCCCCCCCATTTTCCACAGGAGCTGATGCCCGGGACACGTCACCATAACATGACAATACTAACCACACACTGAGGACAGACATCACTGTCTCTGTCATTCACACCAGGAGGCGTATGCTGTCTTCCTGGCTGAGTCGGGCCAATCAGACTGTCAATCCTGATGGCCTCCCAGTTTAAGCAGGAAGGGGGAACTCACTGTAAAGGTAAAGGAACTAAGACACTAAAGGCTGAGTGATTTGCTCAAAGACTGTTAGTATCTCATTCAGATCTTCTGACTTAGGTTAATAATTTTATTCATCAGTTTATATTTCTTTTCATGAATTTGTAATCAACTCAATTATGTTACAACACTGCTATCTAAACTTTTCAGATCCTGCATGCTATAAGTAAAAACAAGCACAGAATCCTTTTCATTATGCACACAGTATAGTAATATAATAGCAATTGTATTTGATTTAGTAGTTGTATACAGGTACTACTATATTACTGTATTGTATGCATAATAAAACATATACAAAATGTATATTTAAAAATAATGAGTTTTTTTTTTTTTTAAAGATTTATTTATTTATTTGAGAGAGAGAGAGTGCGAGCATGAGCTGGGGAGAGGGGCAGAGGGAGAAGCAGGCTCCCTGCTGAGCAGGCAGCCTAAGGACGCAGAGCTCAAACCCAGGACCCCGGGACCATGACCTGAGTGGAAGGCAGATGCTTAACGACTGAGCCACCCAGGCGCCCCAAGAATGAGATTTTTAAAAAGATGTAAATGCAGTTTTCCTATTTTTCTTGTGTGCCAGCAGAGTGAGGGGGGACACACACCCTACCTGGGAGGTTACTCTGCCAGCCCCTTCATTTTTACTTATACATATTAAAGATAATCTTCCTCAAAAATCAGAAGACCAATGGTATCATTTATTAACCACTGTTTGTATCCTAAGTACTTTCTCAAAATGTTCATAAATAAAGCTGAAAAAAATCATAAGTATAAAAGACTCATGTGAGAGACAGTCACACTGTTTAGATATTGACAGTTCTATTTTGGAGGCATAAAAATTTCCACTAGGGATAACGAGAAAACTTCTTAAAATTGTTTTTGAGGAGTCAGAAATTTTGCCCATTATTATGCTACACTTTATAAAATTATCTCCCCGGGAACGGCCAACCTTATTCTTTATTTCACCTGCTCCTTCCTATTCCCACTTTTTTGGTCCTAATTTATTCATTTCCTTATTTAAAATTTTAATTTTGTGTTACTATATATATCTTTCTGTATTTATAAACCTTCTCCAGAGTAAGGTGGAAGAGAAGCAGACCACTGACCCCCTTAGGGCTCAGTGCCCCTGAATGGGTAGAACGCCCCACCTTTTGAAGAAGACTGTGGGGAAAACAGGTTCCCTCTGCCCCTGGGCTAAGCTCAAGGAGGCCTCTGATGTCATCTAAGGAAACAGCTGCAGAGCAGCAGGGCCACTGGCAACCTGCGGGGGGGGGGGGGGGGGGGGGGGAGAGTAGCAGTAGGAGGAGACGCCCCCTCTGCCTGCAGTCACAGGTGTCCCCCTCCCCTCCCTGTGCCTCCTCCTAATCCTAAGTGGGAGTCGCTGCTCTTGGGTCTAATGCTGGATTTCGTCCACAGATCTGGGTGGCAAGTTGCGAGTAGGAGCCCTGTTGGGACACCTGAGTCCTGAGAACCCGGGCTCCCACCCTGGCACGATCTCTGCCAGGCGGGTGACTTCCCTCGGGTTCCTAGGCTTCTCAAAGTTTCCGGTCTTTCTTGAGTCAACTGTGCCAATATGGCTGGCTCACTCATGACTCCTGGGAGCAGACGGAGGTGAAAAGCACTGTGCAAACTGTAAAGAGCCCTAGAACAAGCACGTAGGGCTGCCCTTGTTACTGCTGGGTTTGTGGTTAGTCATGACGCTGCTCCAAGGAAGAGATCTGCTTCTATGATTTAGCAAAGGATCCTAAAAAACGATCTTCCTAGGAGCTTTAGTGTGATCAACATAACAAAAAGACTCCAAATGGCATTGAAAAGCTAGTATATAGAAGCCTACAAACTGCTATTTTCTTAATCAAGCTCTCACATTCGGGCCCTCAAGACATGAGGACATTGCTGGCATTCGGTTTAAACAAGGAGGAACTTACGTGCCGAAGTGACTGAGGAAAGCAGCAATATACTCCCTTCTTTTGTGGTACCCTTGAATCACATACTGCACCTGGAACAGAACCCGAAGATGAGGCGTAGGGAATTCTCAAATGCTTTCTTACATTTCCGAGACTCAGAGAAGTAGAAAGAACGGTGAAATGAATACCCACATCCCCATCACCTATGTTCAACAACTGTGAATATTTTGTCTAGCTGCTTAATCCAGCCATCTACCTCCCCATCAAGCTATCACTCAATCTTGGCTGAAACACTTCAAAGGAAATTAAAGACACCATGACAGTTTGCCCCTAGACAGGTGAGCGTGTATCTCCAAAAAACAAGACATTTTCCTACAGAGCCACAATGTCATTATCATACCCAACAAATCTAGCAATCATTCTCTGACGTCATCTAGTATCCTGGGCATTGTCACAACTTCCCAGTTGTCCCCAAAATATTCTTTTAAAAGGCAGGGTATAATCTAGGGTATAATAAAGGATCAGGCATTTAATCTAGAATGTCTTTTAATGTAGAATAAGAGTACCTCTTGGGGTGTGTACATTTGTCTATGTGATATATGATATTGACTTTTCAGAGAAATTGGGCTAGTTGTCGTGTAGGATGTTCTGCATTCCAGACTCTCTGGTTGTTTCCTTCCTATTCCCTCTAATCCCTACATTTCCTATAAATCGGAAGTTAGACTAAAGGTGTGATTAGATTCAGGTTAAAAATTTTTGGCAAGAAAACCTCATAGGTGATAGCGGGCTTGATCACTGGTTAAGGAGACGACAGCAAGAGCACTCCACTGTAAAGGGAGGTTTCCCCTTTGCCGCTGGGAGTGACCCGCGGGCATACTTCTCAAACCATATGAAGATCTAGCCCCCCTCTCAACCTTTCACCTCATGGTTTTAGTACCTGCTGGAGATGCTTGTCTGAATCAATTATTTCATTAGGAGCCAAAAAATGGTGATTTTTCAAATTCTATCACTCCGTTGCGCATTTATCAGAAGGCAGTTGTCTGTAAAAAAGAGCTTCCTTTCATCAGTGGGGGCTATTTTATGCTGAACTACAACTCCTATTGAAAAGGCAGGACAACGCTGAATTCTTTCTTTTCAAATTCCTAATATCCAGGAAAGGAGTGTTACAATAGGGGATTTTATTTTGCCTTTTTATATTTCCTTGTTATCACCAAATGACAGTTTTTATAAAAAAAAAATTGTGAACTTATTAAGCTGGACATCTGAAAGTTAGTCATTTACCCACCAGCTACTAACACCAAAATACATTCCTTATAATGTCCTCAAAGAAATGGCTCAAAGAAACGGGAGAAAGAGGCCCCCCAAATTGTTTATATTGGCTGTAGCCACAATGAGTTTCCATGGCTAACAAAAGCTTGAGATAAAGTGCTTGAAATAACCTTGACACAATTGGTAGTGATAGCCACTTTGTACCCTTTAAAAGTAAAACAATTCTATGTATATAATAGGGGTTTATGTCAATTTATAAAAACAGTGCTTACTTTGCAGCCTTAATGCAGGATCAGAAATGTTATTTTGGGAAAAGAAAAACAGATGATAAGTTTGCTTAAGTGGCTTTGTTTAAAAAGGGGATGAAAACAGTTCTGTGTACTTGATTTTAAAAACAGAAAACCATTTTAACAGAAACCCACAACAAAACTGGCTATAAAGATAGATTCCAACGTAATTATGGAAATTCATTTGAAGAGATTGTTTCTAAAAGCAACCCATACTGTCCTCGTTTGTAGCAAGCATAAGAACATCAATTTTAAAAGACAAGTAAAATTAATGAAAGGGAACCAGATAAGAAAAATGGACTGATTCTTGCATTTTGGGGAAAATGGTAATAGAACTTTTTTTTTTTTTGAGGAAAAAGTATGACTAGGAATTAATCTCAATTGGAGAGCTTTAAAAAAAGGCTTTTCTTCTCAGTTCTGGAAGGCCAAATTTGCATGTTTCTCTGTAATACTGGGACACAGATTTGAAGGCAGTGCAAAGTCCCACAACGTAAATAAGAATTCTATCCTCCGATCAGTTTTGAAGGAGGGCAGAGGCTGGGGGAATTTGGTCCAATGAGAAGCAACCATCCCACGAGTTAGATGCCCTGGAGTCCGCGCCAAACCCAGGGACTTCAGACTTGCCAGATTTTCATTTCCCTGACATTTAAAAAATAATACTGAAGCCTCTGAAATATTATTGTACTTTAAAAATATTTCCTATATAGAGATGAGCTATCTTTTGAAAGAAAGAGACAAACAGAAGATTTCTTTTCCAAGCCAATGAGCACAAGTCAATAGGAGCACAGGAGACAGTACTTTGGGAACTGGGCAAACGGAGTCAGTCAATGTGGGAGAAGAAAGAAAGTCAGTATTACTTGTGGACGAACATCTCTGGTTTTCAGCTAACTACACCGGTGTACTTTTTAGACATATCTGGCAATAGCCATTAATGTAAACTCAGCTACTCGCCAATGTACTGACTCATTCTTGCAGCTAAGAGAAAGCTTTAGATAACCTGATGGGCCTGCCTACCGAACCAGCTGACCTGGAAATCTTGCCCCTGGGAGTGGGACTCTGGCAAGCTACTCCTAGACAGGACATGGAGAATCAAGCACTGACTGGTAACAAGTGAGGTAGAGAAAAGCAGAAAGAGGTGAGGCAGTTCTAGTGAATTACCTTGATACTCACTGGTGGCAAACACACACTCACACACACACACACACTCATGCATGCATGCACGAGATAACTGGGAAATGGAGGAGTTCAAAGGTGCAAGATCTAGCAAAAACTTAGGACATAAAGGAAATTTAAGGAGGAGGAGGTAGAAATTTAAAAGATGAAGATAAGACTGGAACAGGAGGTCAGAATCCTTAGGAAAGGAAGAAGGAGCACAAGGAACTAGGGAGAGCAATGGATGAACTGTAATTCGAAGTACGAAAGGCTGGTGTCAGGTGGCAGCTGAAGCCAAGATGGGGTGCAGAGGCGGAGCCTGCAGGACAATGCCGACAATGCCGACAATGCCGACAATGCCGACAATGCCGACAATGCCG